ACAAATAAAATTCTAGATTGTGAAATTTCAAATGTTCAAGTCATTCAACACGAGATTTTATCTACCTCAAAAACAAGGTCAATTATTAACCTTTCAACTGCCGCACTATGAACAGCATTAACTGCATCGGAGATAAATGTAGACATGTAATAACTGTCCTATTAATTTTAATGACAATAACAATAACTATTTTTAATGATGGAAATAATATTGCTGATATGTTTAGTTGATAAAAAATTTGATTTTTGCTTATGCTGGAGTGTTTTTATGCATGATTTCGGGAGCGTGCGCTACAGTTTTACACGTCCTAGAGTGCGAAATATTTTCTCACATCTAGTCAATGGTAACGTAAATAACACAACTCTATGAAAAAATGAGCAGAGTCTAACATCATCAGTCGTATCAACTTCTTTTGACAGTAGTAGAAAAATAGTATATTATTCAACGAGCATGTAATGCTATTATTCACGAGGATGAAGTTTAAGTCACCATAGTCACAACTATTAAATAGTAAACATTTTTGATAAAATATCGCGATAGAAATTCTGACAAACTTTAACGTTTTATATCAAATAACAATTCCATACTTTCACCGAGATGTCATGGCATAATCGATGAAATGTAAGAACCAGTAAAGAATAAAATAGTTATTTACTGCAGTGAATAATGGATAGCAGTGTCCTTTAGGAAACACATATATAATAGATATATTATTTAGTAATCGTGGATAAACTATTTTATGTTCGATGAAGAAAAATGTATCAGAATAAAGTGTCATCCAAACATTGAATCACCACTTTAGCTACAAGAGGTTTTATTCAATGTATGCATGGGCTGTTTATAGTCTCTTTCATTTGTCTATGAAAGATAAGTGTCTTGTCAATATATGTTTCCAAATACTATACGTCAATCCTCAATCTTCATAGGTGGTACGTTTAGGATTATTGAAGTTATAAACATTATTAATTAAATGTTGCGACTAATTTCGTAACAAACAAACATTAAAAGGAAATGTATATTATTAAAATGAAATAACACAACATTAACAAACACATTGACGAACATTATTTTACTTACGAAATTCAAAGTTGAATTGAAAACCGCTTTTATTGAAATATAATTACATAATATTAATTATTTGTTAATTGTGAATGTTTATATCCTGTATAAAAAATAAATTATAGTTTACAAAAACAATTTTTAAATCCTGCTTATTATTTTAAAATAATAAATCATAAATTTAGACTGTGATACAATGAAAAAATCAAGAGAGCTGAACTCGTTATGGAGCAGGACTTACTGTAATAATTTATTCTCGAACAAGACAAAGGCATGTACTGGAACAAAATGTAAATCATTTGAGATTATGGTTTCCACTTCTAATTTACCAACTTGACGGTTAAACCTCGTTTGTCGATTCGCAAAATATTTTGTACACATATACCGGGTTAGCTGAGTTTCTTCATCATTTTGCTTTACTATTTTGAGGGTCGCTAAAAAAATATAATAAAAGTTGCAATAATTCTTCCAACGATTTTATATATGAAAATGGACACGAAAAAACTACAAAAAATTTTAAACGTTTGTTTCAAAGACTATTCTTGAAGAATAATTTAGGATTTTGCCAATATTCTCTGTAGATACCTAATACTTTTTCTTAAATTTAAAATATCCACTTATACTTATTTAATATTCATAAGGATGTTAGCTTGAAATCATCAGTTGTGCTTTTATATTCAAATATGATTAACTTGTGGCAGATTTGAAAGAAAATATTCATGTTTGGTTATAATAGGGCATTTAGATTAGATTCCCCCAGACTCTACAATACATGATATTTTTTAGAGCCCGGCGAATGGTTCTTCTTCTAAGTCTTCATTTTCCTCTTCGGAGTCCTTGTATTGTTGAAACAGCACTTTCAAATCAACTTCACAACGGCCCATTATTTCGGTTTCTTCCTCTTCCACTTCTTCTACCTCTTCTTCTTCCTCTTCTCCTTCCCTTCCACTTCCTCCTCCTCTTGCCCTTCCTCTTGACTGTCTCTCAGTTGAGTCATCGTTAATTTTAAGGAAGCTGGATGGCGGGTGTAAAATAACATTTTGTGTTTAATGATTCAATTTAATTAATCTGTCTGACAAATAGTACCAGTGCTTAATTCAGTTGTTTCGTACTATAGATGAAAGGAAAGTAAATTAACTTTACGTTTTTATTTAAAAATTCATACAAACGAAAAGTTTTTCATAAATTATAAATTTTAAGCACAAAATATGCACAAATTCAGTTTCTTGTATTTAGACCTCAAGTCCGATTCACAAAGTAATACAGTGAACACTGTAATAAAAGTATTCATATCTAGGCCAGATACGTACTAATTTTGAATAATGCATCATGTGCATCAGATATGTATTCCAAGGAGCCGAAAATATTCTAGAACCGTTAGGGGAAGCACAGTATCTAAATAACTCTGTGAAAACTATTACCCTTGCACATAGTTTTTCCTAGAAAATGTTTTAGATTAAAGTTTGAGCGAGTCGGTAAATGTAGCTTGTTATCAGTGTCGGGCGTATATGGAACTAAGGGGATAAATGAATTTATTATGTGATATTCTTTTACAAATGAATGATTTATCAATTTATTTTTTATTTATTTTTCAATGCTATAAGTATATTCGAGTATTTTATATTTAAACTAAAATATTCGGTCATTTTGTCACTATAATTTCGAAATATTATTTCTTTTTGAATTTTTACCTTAGAGGATTGGCATTACTTTCGAGACATCTTATATATTTAAAAATGTAACACCAAATAAATACATGCTTTAAATCTAGTAAAAAAAATACAAGACAATAAAGAAAAAATACAGTAAAATAAAATTTTAAAACAAAACAAAAGTAGATCGATCGCAGCTAAATAAATATCCAGTAGGGAGTGATGTTAACTATAGATGACGTGTATTTATATTATGAATTCCGTAGTAAAATAATTATCTCTATTTTATATTGCTTTTGCATATCCTCGTCTTATTGTTAGTTCGCTACACTTACCCTGAAGCAAAATGTCTGTACTATTAAATGGCTTTATGCGGAAACTTGAAATTCTCCTTAAACTTGAATACCAAATATCTACTAACTCTCTTAGACAGTCTTTATTAGTCAGAAAACCTAGAGCGCAATCAGATTATTTATATTAAGACAATAATGAATTTTATATCTTAAATCAAATTATTCGAATTTGTTTGGAAGTTTTTTTATTTTTTCATCTTAAGATTCACGCAGTAAAGCAAATATATCTTGCTATAGCTTGTCGTTGTCCAGATTTGTGAAGTCAGAAAATAACGTACTTTATTATTGGTGTCTCAAAATCTAATAAATTTAAATCTGGACATCATGGCGGTCAATTTGTTGGACCTCTTCTAATCAGTTGGTTAAAATTTATATTTCACTTAGTTACTTATCTTCCTTTATGAGGGGGAACTCCATCATGTTGATCCCAAACAGATTTAAAACATTGACTGGTAGGTACATCTTAAAAAAATGTCTGACTATTTTTTTCAAGAACCTGGTTCTTACGCACTCGGAAGTAATTAATTATTAAATTTTAATGTCCATACATTTGTTGGAAGTTTCTTCTTTTTATTTCAAGGCGTTCTTCAATGATTTCGCAGAAATTAAAACAATTGAAAAGATATTTGTTACACTATCACCATATTTGCCAAATTCGTTGTCAATTCGGATAAAAACTGCAGTTTTTAAAGATTTTTTTGCAACAACTATTCGCAATAAACTACTCGCCGGTCAGCATTTTGAGTTGAAATCTTCTGTATGCTCTGATAATGATATGATTATATTTTCTTTACGCACATTACCCTCGACACAAGAGTTTTTTAGACAATTTGAATCACAGAAATTTTGTCAAAACTTACTTTTTTTAGGAAAGTGTATCCATTACGATAAGAAAAACATTGACAAAGAGGCAGTATATAAAATTTTCCAATTCTCAAATGTAAAGAAAATGAAACTATATTATTGCTGATTGAGAACATTATATCGTAGAAATTTGAAAAATTGACGTACTATAGTATTTTTTAGTTCTGAGAAACTTTTTTCGCGTACTAGGTGGTAATTCATTTAGAAATGTGATACTTTTCCACATAGCAACATTTCTCTGCATCTTTCAACAAAGAAGAGGCAGACATTTACTTAATGAATTTATCAGTATAAATAAATGTTGAATGAAAAATTGCTCCAATTAGAGAATGTTATACCACAGGACTGTATATTAACTACTGCTACTGCTACTGACTGTAAATCATTGAGTATTAATAGAGAACAGAACTTCGCCTGATGCTGATGTTGATTGCTGTGCGTGGAAAATTGTCGAAGAAGGCGGCTTACTTCCTGATTATTATTCCTTGTGGAAGTCCTTATTTTATTGGTAGGATATAAGGCAGTAGATGTTCTACTGAACCAAAAATGTACGTGGTTCTAATTAAAATGATCATTGAATTTATAAATATCCTAATTGTTACTTTCTTATACTTAAAATAAGGAAGTATTAATAATCGTGATTTTTATCGACCTTGAGATTTTGATTGATATTTAATTATTAATTAAACATTTTAATGAAACATTTCAAGATCTGTTTTAAAAATTTAATTCAGGTGAGTGAAGAATTAAATAGAATGATTTTTTTATACTGGTATAAGAAAGTTATGTGCTGGCTACCTCAGGTATTTTACTAATAACGACCTTCATAATTACGAAGAAATATGTCTTTTGTTTGTGAAAATATTATTGCTAGTATGAGGTATATTAATTAATTAATTTTTAGTTATTTAACCACCACAAATAATACAACCCCCTGTAACCCAGAAGATACCTCAAGGTGCTTTGTGTGGGAGAGTCCTACCCATTTAGAGACAATTTTCTAATTCCAATCAAATGACACTCACCAAATGTCTGAATATGTTAGGATTAATTTCTGGTTTAGAAAAAATCCTAGCTTCTCGATCGGGGTTCGAACCCGGGACTCCGGGGTAAGAAGCAAATGTACTTACCACTCGATCACGAAGCCACACACACACAAATATTCATGTATATAGTCAATATTTTACAGGATAATGGATTTTTCTTCCTCTACATGATGCTTAAACACATTGTATTTCTTAGAGAAAACTTTTAATGAACACTGTTTTCTGATATAACGAACGGTTCTTTTTTTAGTGTAGACGCAATTTTTTTTAACATAATGGTCAAACTATTAATTCCTACTAGTTGTATCGTTCTTGTAGAACAAGAAGAATCATCGATGATTAACATGTTTTGTCCGTAAGTTGAAATATTTTCGATATAATTCAATGCCATTAATGCCAGCCATTTCTGAAGCAACCATAAATATACGTTTCTTATTTATTTCATCAGCATGCGAGATAAGAAGAGCCTATAAAAATTGTAAGGCATGGGTACTTTTAGAAGTTCATACATTGCATCGTAAAACTACAATAGTTTACATTTAAACTACATAAAGTATTTTGAGAATTATATTTTTCTAGTAATAATAAACATACAAATAAAATGATACAAACAAAGCGTAAGGATCTAATTCAAACAAAAAAAATATTGAATTCTGCGTATTTTTATATCAACAACATTACGTATTATTATTCTATATAAAGCCATAATGTATTTAATACATCGCATTTGTATGTTTATTATTATTACTTTAATATATTTCTCAAAATATTGTATGCAGTTTATTCGTATATGATAAAATAGTGTAGTTTAAAAACAAATTAAGTTCCTCTTCTTGGTAAAAGTTTAAAATATAGAGTGGAATGAAAATAATATTAACTGAAAATTTTTTGCTAATTATTACTTACTAACTTTTACAAATCTTATCACAGATAAGTATAACATATATCTCTTTAAACAATTATTTTCCCGGCTATTTGCCAAAACGATGTAACTTGGATTACAAAAAAAGATAATATGCACATTATGTTCAGTACAACTGACTCAATAATGTTATTTTTAATTTCAACTATTCTGTCTAGTAAAACCAAAAATAAATAAAACACAAAGTACTCACCAGTTGATACTCACTTTAAAAGCTTTAAAATATCTACCGACACGTGTTTCTGCTTGCGGATTTTCATCAGGGTAGCCAGCAGATTTAAAGAATCCAAAGCAACAAAACTTGTAAACCTTAATGTAATAAACATTAATGGCTTCAGAGAATAGAATAATTGAAATTATATAGTGGAAATTCCCCTTAGGGTCAAATAAAATAATTTAAAAACAAATTAAGTTCCTCTTCTTGGTAAAAGTTTAAAATATAGAGTGGAATGAAAATAATATTAACTGAAAATTTTTTTGCTAATTATTATTTACTAACTTTTACAAATCTTATCACAGATAAGTATAACATATATCTCTTTAAACAATTATTTTACCGGCTATTTGCCAAAACGATGAAACTTGGATTACAAAAAAAGATAATATGCACATTATGTTCAGTACAACTGACTCAATAATGTTATTTTTAATTTCAACTATTCTGTCTAGTAAAACCAAAAATAAATAAAACGCAAGGTACTCACCAGTTGAATTTCCACCATACAATTTCAATTATTCTGTTCTCTGAAGCCATTAATGTTTATTACATTAAGGTTTACAAGTTTTGTTGCTTTGGATTCTTTAAATATGCTGGCTACCCTGATGAAGTTCCGCAAGCAGAAACACGTGTCGATAGATATTTTAAAATTTCTTAAAGTGAGTGTTCAACTGGTGAGTACCTTGTGTTTTATTTATTTTTGGTTTTACTAGACAGAATAGTTGAAATTAAAAATAACATTATTGAGTCAGTTGTACTGAACATAATGTGCATATTATCTTTTTTTGTAATCCAAGTAAAAGATATATGTTATACTTATCTGTGATAAGATTTGTAAAAGTTAGTAAATAATAATTAGCAAAAAATTTTCAGTTAATATTATTTTTCATTCCACTCTATAAAATATTGTAGCTTTACGATGCAATGAATGAACCTCTAAAAGTACCCATCCCTTTTTTGTGTAAGGTTTTATTTTCTCGTATGCTGCTGAAAAAATACTCAATTATTATAATACAATTTTAATTCAAATTGCTACATTTTTATGTAAATAAGCGTTACTATTATTATTACTATAATTCGGTGTTATTATTACTCTGCTTTAAGTTTTGTAACTGCAGTCAAACAAATGATCTAACGAACCGTAACTACTGTTTTAACCTAGAATTCTCGTTGTGCAAGTTTACAAATTAGAATCATTTCATTACAATGATGGGAATTTAGATAGTATTCCAAGCATCTCCTGACAAGAATTAGGACAAATTCTACAACTATGTATAGGCTATAACAGGACATCATTAATTATCGTGTTTTGTTAATTCAGAAATGGCTTAAAAGTAAAAAATTATAGTTTGCACTGCACTCTCTTGAGGAATAGTTAAAAGAATAACAATCTATACACAGGGTGTATCAAAATTCAGTCGACAGTAGTAGTTTTATAACCCGACGAATAAGCATGCATATACGAATGGTGTTGGTGCATTATATTCACTTTATATACACGGTGTTTCTAAAATGTCTACTCTAACTTCATGAGGAAGTTAGTTCCTCACAAAAAAAAAAAAAAAAAAGGACATGTTCTTTGACTTTTCAATTTTTCGAAATGAGATAGAAATCGCGAAATATTTCATATTAACGCGTCACAATTTAAATACAGTTATTCAGTGGCGGTCGGTCCATGAAAGCAAGGGAAGCAGTGCTTCCCCTGGGATTATTTAAAAAAAAAACACATAAATAGAACCTAATTATAATTTATCACATATATTAATCATTAAAATTTACTTTTACCCAATTTAAATAGACACGGCCCTGCTTTTCAGCAGCTGAGATAATGTTGCACGATAAAACCGTAACGATGACGCACTCGATTAATCGAGCCAACACGAACTCGCGCGACTTCGATATATGTAAGCAGAGACAACTGTCTCTGATGTAAGTAGGTAACTTCTTGAAATGCATCCCATCCCCACTTCATAATCTTGATATCTGAGCTATATAGCATCGTAATACATTTTATTTTATAGATTTTAATCTCGATTTTAATATCGATTTTAATATTATACTTAATATTAATCTTCCTAGTATTATTCTCAGCTTTTGTGCTATATTTATAAAAACTGTTTTTGGTGTTTCTAAACCTGTGGTGCGGCGACAAGTGATTTTTAAAACGTTGAATATTAGTGCGCGTGTAAGCAGATTTAGAATTACTTATTAAATTTGGAAGCTGGTTCTAGCACTGTGGAAAATATTATTTGCGTTTATGTGGTGTGCAATTTGTTGAAAATGGGATTTTCAACATATTCGTTTCAAGATAAACTGGATATTATTAGAAATGGGAAACCAACACCTGATTTAAAACTTTTAAAAACGAAAGTTAAATCATGCTATAGGTACTTTAATATTGAAGTATACAGTGCTAATCAGTGGTTAAGGGGTTGTGAAAATTTGTGTAAATTGTTTTGTTGGCCATGTGTACTGTTCACAAATGAAAAAGGTGTTTGGAATAAAAATGGCTTTTCAGATTTAAACAACATTCACAAAGTGACACAAAGGCATGGTAAGTGTGAAACTCATTTGCGAGCGGTGCTAAAAGAATAAACATTTGGAAAATCACGAATTGAGCATTCATTAGATCAGCAGTTGAAAAAAAGTGTTAAAAGGACTTATTGACATTGTTTGTTTTCTCGGCGAAAATGAATTTAGTTTCAGAGGTCATACTGAATCTCGAAGCGTTGCTAATAGGGGCAATTTTATCAATTTAGTTGATTTATTAGCAAAATACGATACAATTTTAAGTAACCATCTGGAACACTCCACGATATTTCGCGGTATATCAAATCATATTCAAAATGATTTGATTCAGTCGATAAGCAATATTGTTTTAAAAAAGATCAAGCAAGAAATAAAAAAGCTCCTTTTGTTGCAGTTATGTTAGATGAAACAGCCGATATTACGAATATTAGTCAGTTGTCAATCGTAGTACGCTACATAAATCCAAATGGGAAAGTCCAAGAGCGCTTTTTAGGATTTTTAGACGTAACAACGCCATGAACGGCCGCAGCTTTATATACTATAGTTTGTCAGATAGTCGTGTGGTGCTAAACTTATCGCCCAAAGTTATGATGGGGCCGCTGTAATGGCTGGTGAATTGGGGGGCCTCCAGGCCAAAGTAAAAGAGACTTTTCAGAATGCAATATTTGTACATTGTTTTGCGCATCGATTAAATTTAGTTCTAGCTCAATCTGCAGCTTGTCTTAAAGAGTGCAAAGTGTTTTTTTTCAAGTATTAGTGGAATGGCTGCCTTTTTTTCAAAATCATCAAAACGGACACGAGAATAAAAACTTTTTCAAGAAATTCAACCAGTGAAGAGCGGCTTTCAAAATTGTCTCTGTTGTAGAAAGTGACTTTGTGAAGATGTCCAAAAATTCAAACTTTTACGACGAAGTTATTTCCGACATCGCAAAAAAGGAGAGGCGGATTAAACTACATTGTAAATAGGTAGGTATGTGCATGTTAACTACTTAACTAGCTGGCTTAATTTATAGTTGGCTAGAGAGTGCACGATGGCTGGTGTGACTGAACAAACTCTCTATTTCGCTGCGGGTTCAATCCTCGCCAACGGCGCTGGCAATGTCGGTGGATATGATTGTGTGTCTGCGTTTTTTTCATAACTGTAACCCTCGCCCGTGCAGCTTCGGCTTTGGAATCGGGGGTTGTCTAATTTTTGTGGTGTTTTTATGTTTTATGTTTATTGAGGAGTGGCGGTCCTACAAGTGTACTTTTTTCTAGATATCATAACTTTGCAGCTTTCGACATTTGCTTTAAAATGAGTATACGGAAGCCACGTCCCTTTTCTTAAAATAATTTTTGCCTCGCTTCGCTCGGGGCCTCGCGCTACCCATCACTCTATATCACAAACTGCTTCCCCTGTATCAAAACTCACCGCACGCCCCTGCAGTTATTAC